ACTTCCTAACGGATAAAGATTAAATTAAATTACAATCCATCATAGTAGACATTTTAGAATTCAAAACTCCAATTTCCTAAACAACCTTAGTAAAGTAATTTCTCAATTAAACTTCAGAGGCTACAAAGATAGAGAGGTTAGACTACAAGTGCAGAAATAGTAGAGAATTGTTCATTTTTGAGATCCACTTGGAAGAGACAATTATTGGAGATCGGAAGTTCGTGGTTTTAGCAGGATCTTTGAGGTTACAAGAAGTAGATCAAGATGTCTTGTGGAGTTGGGGAGGCAGCATCTAGCTATAAATTCATATTGTCTATAGTGAAGATAACTGGCTTGGTCTCCAAGTTTTTATCCAGTTGGGTTTCTCCGCCAAGATATGTGTGTTATTTACTGTTTTCATATTATAAACTATGGCAATTCAACTTAAAATAATTGAATAGTTTGATTAACCATTCATAAACAATTAAAAAGTAACTTATTGCTTTTGATTGTGTTAATTCTACACGTAAGGTCAAACTAAATCAGTTAATTAGAACTTTCAGTTGGTTTCAAAGCCAAAATTCGATTCTTGGCCTCACTATCTATCCCACCATATTTTGATGTTAGTAATTATGTATACTTGAAGGTTAGAATGAGACCCTTTTTAAAATTTATGGATGAATGCGTTTGGTTGAGTGTTGTTAATTGTTGGGCTACCCCTAGTTCTACGATTGATAATGTAGTAATCTCTCCTCCTATTGCGAATTGGACCAAAACATACCCAGGAGAATGTAATTGGGACAACAAAGCTTTGCATGCATTGTTTATGGCCATGTATGAGGTAGCTAAAGAGGCTTAGAATATTTTACAAGCCACATATAAGAGAACTCAGGCTATTAAGAACTTTAAATTGTAGATGCTGATCATTAGGTTTGAAGAGATTATGATGAAAGAGGACAAGACCTTATATGAATTGTATGCGAGCCTAAATGACATAATTAATTCTAGCTTCAACCTAGGTGCGAGAATCTCGAAGCCTACGATAGTCAGAAAATCATTAGATCCTTATCTGAACGATTTAGGCCTAAAATCATGGTTATTGAAGAAAGTAAGGATATGGACTCTGTTAAGGTGGTTGGATCTTTCCAAACTTATGAACTGACATTAGCTAAACCCACAAATGATAAGTCTTAGGCCTTAAGCATTATGAGGAATAGTCGTAGAGAGTCATCAAATTCAGATTCCCCTAATGAAGAGGAGTTAGGATGAGAAGTGGATCTGATAAGGGGAGCAACATGACTAAGGACATAGATAGTGCTGAAGAATCAGAGGAAGATTCTGATACTAAGGGAGATATTCATGAATCTTATGATAGAACCTATGAGAATGGCATTTGGATTCTAACTACAAATAAAGCCTTAGGTGCGAAGGTTAAAGAACTCGAGTTGGAGAAAGATAAATTGTTAGCTTGGCTTCAAGAATCTATCTCAACCTCGAGTGAGTTGAAATCCATGAACGAATCTTTAGAGATACTCAGGTTAAGGATCTCACAAGTGAGCATGAGAAGATCTTTAGGAGAGCTAGTGAGCTGACAATTGAAAATGAAACTTTAGAAATTCAGGTTAAGAATCTTTTGTGCAAAATTGAGTTTTCCAAGTCCCAACTTCTTGTCTTTTCTAACCTCTATGAATGGTTGTCGCCTACTGGTGACAAGGGCAGTCTAGGATATAAGAAGAAATATCATAATATTGCTAGTACGTTCATGACCACATTTGTCCCTCCTACTGATCAGCATAAACATGTGTCTAACCCTGATCCTAAGAAAAAGGAATTTGTAGGATAGAGGCCTACTAAACAGCATAGGACCCGCCAATCTAAGAATAGAAATCAACGAACTCAACTATGTTCCTAGGTTTATCCCTACATATTTTCATTGTGGTGAGTTAAGACACATAAGACCTAGGAGTTATAAATTCCTGAACTTAAATAGAACAAAACTTCAATAGAAATAAGAATCAAGAGTTTGTTTGTAAGATTTACTTCCTTACTAATCAGGTGAGTTGGTGACCAATATGATTACACAAATGACTAAAAATATTCCTATCACTAGGTACTTTTGGGTGAAGTGATTTAAAAAATCTTGAAATAGATCATGATACTCTTAAAGATAAGAACGTTTCACACCTAACTAATTATGTATTTCTGGTGAATGCAAGTACTTTATCATTATGTGTTATTGATTTATGTATGCATCATATTTTTTATTTGTTTTCTAAGTAGAAGTCTTATGTCCATTTTTTGTGTGTTTAACATTTTCTTGTGTTCTTGGTGCATTCAAATTTTTAAAATAAAAACAACAAAAAATTTTGAAAATTGAAAAATACAAAGAAAATGGGAAAAGGGAACAGAAAATTGTTTTTACAACATGATGTATAATATACTTGAATTTGTTTGTTGTTATCAAGTATTGGTTGAATGGAAGAGTTGTAGCATATTGCTTGCTTAGGTTATTATAGAATACTTAGTATATGTGTTTTCATGTACAATCTGCACTGCACACATTATGATATTGTTAATGGGGCCCAACTGCATTTGTGAGATTTTAGATGATAGTCACATGTTAGTAAGGTGATTTTGAACATGAATTAACATTATTATTAGACCTAAGCTCAACTTTAATCCCTATAATAAAAAGCTCAATATCTTATGTTATTCTTTGGAGCATATTTGACTCGAACAATTAAGTCTTTGGGGTTTTTCATAACTTGGTGCGAGCCAATGGTCAACTAACTTGGGTTAACGGGACTAAAACTTGCTATAGGTTCATCTTATTCTTTTAATGGAGAAGGACCAGTACTTAAGATGTAAAAATATGATAAGATTAAAAAATATTGAATGATATGAAAAATTTATGTATGCTCAAAATCAAGGAGAGAAAAAGAAAATATCCATACAAAATGAGCTTTTATTTGAAGGTCCTAGTGTGCTTTAAATGGTTTGACTTTCATAAATAAAAAAAAACTTATTGACAATGATGTTTAATATGTCATTTATCATAAAATTAAGGTATGAAGTCGTGTTTACAAAGGATTAATGACGCTTTACACACATGGATCACTTATATATTTTATTCCATGTTAACTTGAGTTGTGCATGTGGGAAGGTTTGCTGATCATTGATTATGCTTGTGCATGTAATCAATTGCACATTTTGAGTTATTATAATATATGTTAAAAAAAATTTGATACTGATTTTTTTTATTTGTGACAAAAAGGGAGGAGAGTGATTATTTCGATAGGAAGAGAGGATATAAAGGGAGAGAATATATCATTATATCCCGAGAGAAAATTGCATGTTAGTGGGGGTGAAATGACTGATTAATTAGAGTTTACAGTAAGAAGAAGATTGATTAATTTCATTGCATAAAGCATAGCTATTTAAGTTTTTGATGTTTCGTATTATTAATGTTTTGGTTGATGTTTTGATTGATATTAATATTATTTCTCATTTTAGCATGCTTATTTATGATCATGTGCCTATATTGCTATATTTCTTGTATCACGTTGCTTTTATACTTAGTATTTGAGTTATGAATTTCAGGAAACGGAGTTCAACAAGGAATGCAAGAAATTAGAGCTTGGGTAGATTAGATTTTTGTGTTTTTACCACCTTAACTTTAATTGTATAGTTTTGTCAAGGAATGCAAAAGGAGAGTTTGTTAGGTTTTATGTAATTGGCAATTTCGTGAACAAAGGGATCGAAATAAAATTTTTGTAAAAAGTCATGGAGTTAGTTGCAATATTGTATAGTTGAGTTACACAAGTTAGGATTCGAGTTCGGAATAAGGAAAAAAGAGACTTCGCAATTTTGTCAACCTATCGCCTCGATGTTGCTCAAGCGGTAAAAACAGAAATCCCATCACTCATGTGTCGCTTGTCTCTACTCTAGCAACAGACCTTCACTTGCCTATTGCTAACTCCTCACTCGAGCAATAATGTTACACGTAGAATCCTGCTCCATGCTTTTGCAGAGTTTTACACGATTCAGACTGCCTAATTGTCCTCAACTATAAATACTTAATGCCCGTCATGAAATTTTGTGTGGTTGTTCATTGTGCCTCTTCTCTATAACACATTCATAACATTTCTTTAGAGATTCAAGAGCTTATTCATGCACTGATTCAATTCACTTACTCTTGAGATTATGCAGCCATAGTTGGGGGAAAATATCGAATCCATTGAATTCAAAATACCTACTTCCTAAATACCATTAGGAAGGTACTTTCTTAATTAAACTTCTGAGGCCACTGAAGATTGAGAGTGATTGGACTACGAGCACAGGAAAAGTATAAGAATTGGTCATTCTTGGTGATCCACTTGGAAGAGACAATTGTTGGAGATCGGGAGCTAGTGGTTTCAGCAGAATCTTGGAGGCTACATGAAGTAGATTGAGAAGTCTACTACAGTTGGCTAGACAACATCTAACTATAAATCCATATTGTCTATAGTGGATGTAACTAACTTGATCATGGAGTTTTTACCTAGTTGGATTTCTCCATCAACATATCTCGTGTTATTTACTATTTTCTTATCACAAATTGCTACAATTCAACTTAGGATAATTGGACCGTTTGATTAACCATCTATAAACAATTTAAAAGTGACTTGTTACTTTTAATTGTGTTAATTCCGCACATAAGATCAAACTAAATCGGCTAATTAGAACTTTCAGCATATAAATCTAAGAGTGTAATTGATTAGTTTAATTTCCATGAAAAATATCATTTTTCCATTGAAATTCTTACTTTTGGACAAGTGACCATATTTTCTTGAAAAACACAAAAATATTTTCTTTACGGAGGGGTGATTTCCATTTTCCAGGTAATTCGCTCTCTCTTTATCTTTCTCATCTATCCCATCTCTCTCATCAATTCACCAATAAAAAATAGAGGTGTTGAAAACTAAATCAATTAAACACATTTAATTAATAAAATTCATACTAATAAGTTATTGGCAATTCAATTGCCTAGAATTTATTTTCTTTTAATATAGATCTCATGTTCGCAATCAAATGCACCTAAGTAAAATTTTTGTCTCATTTTTATGCATGGAGTCTGGATTTCACTCCAAACATCGTTGGTTACCTTTTAAAACAAGAAAAGATGGTGAAATGTGATATGTTAGCTCTTTTCTATTGTTTAAGTGCTTTCAAAGATAATTGAGAACGTTTGGAGAAAAAATCGTGAACTTGCAAACAATATGATACTTACCCATTTTAAATGACACGGTGCCGAATTCACCAATTTCACATCTATTTTTCTTTATGTCTACTCTTATGAGCTTGCTATATTTAGAAATCATGCCTTATCTGAAGTTGTTACTTAGAGATCACACAGACACGCGGTTGAGGATCCTTATGCTAGTAACAAAACTGACTTAAGGGTGCAATTGACTGTCAATATTTTCCATGAAAAATATGTTTTTTCCATTCAAATTTTTACTTTTGTGCTGTTTGACTAGCTTTTTTCATAGAAAATATTTTTTTACTTTTGATCACGTGACCATATTTTCCTCAAAATCAAGGAAAAAATGATAGTAGGATTTTGTTTTCTTGGAAATACATTCTCCCTTTATCTCTCTCATTTATCCACTTTCTCGCATCTACCCACCAATAAAAATTGGACAAGTATAATATTTTTTTGGTTGAAAATTAAATCAATCAATCAAATTTAATTGACAATTTCCATGAAAATAAGTTTTAGGCAATTTATTTTCCATGCATGCAAATTTCATGCTTGCAATCAAACGCACCTAAATCCTATTAAATTAATTAATAGGAGATTGTGAACATTCTTAGCTCTTCTCAACTGTTTTAAATGTTTTCAAATGTAATGGAGAACGTTTGGAGTTGAATCATGACCCATGAACAAAAATGACGCTTATTCATTTTAAAATGTCGGCTCATATGAGCCTATAATTGATGAAAATACATTTCTACTACATTTAGAAACCATGCTCCATCCAAAGTTAGTATTTAGAAGTCTGTACATTGGCACGTAAGTATGTATGTACTAGTAACAAAGTTGACTAATTTTATTAAATTCATTGTTCACTGCCTCAAATTCTATTAAATCCGTCAATTTGTTGCCTCAAATTCTATTTAATTCTCCAATACTAATTAGTGAAACTTAGCCCTTGTTTGAGCTCCATTTTTTGGGATAGAATGAATTTTTGAATAGTGTATTGATGGGAAATGTGTGGTTAAAAAAATAATGAAAAGTTTTGAATTTACGTGTAATATTATTTTATTGAAGAATGTGTGGTTGAAATGATGTCAAAACACTGTTGAAAAATGAGTTTTTGCAAAAGAATGAGGCTCAAACAAAGACTTAGTATCTTAGCTCTTTTTCTTATATTAAATATTTTCAAATTACCAAGAATGTATAGAGCGAAATTGAGATCACGTGCACAAAAATGATATTTACCCATTTTAAATAACACGATGCCATTTTTACAAATTTCCAGTCCCTTCATCTTTGTGTTGGCTGATATGAGCTTAGAGTTGTTAAAAATATATTCCTATTATATTTAGAAATCTTGACTGCTAAGTTGTTACTTATTTAAAAATATATTTCTATTATGTGATTGATATAATGTTAAATTACTGTTTAAGAGTTGTTACTTAGTGGTCATACGCTGACACACAATTGAGTATTCTTATATTAGTAAAAAGATTGATTAAGATTTTATTAAATTTGTTAATACAAGACAGTGAAATAAAATATTATATATCTTTTTAGCATTTTTAGATGTTTTCAAGGATAAGCGAGGATGTTTGGTGCGAAATCGTGAACTTGGGTATAAGACAACACTGTCCATTTCACAAATTTAACTACATTCTTATTATATTTTGACAAAAAGTATTATATTGTTTAAATATATATTAATAGAAAATAACATTACATAACGAAAAAATTGTTTTTTTTTTGTTTTTTTTTTGAAGAAAGACCTCTTAATATATTCAAAATTAACGGATAATGCAAAGAAATACGAAGAAAAAGAAGAAAATAGTGTTTACATTGGGAAAGAATGAAAAAAGTAGTTAATGAATATAGGGGAATTTGGGATTTCAATGCAGACATTCTGGGCATTCATGTAAAAGATAATTTCGGACTTTTAACATATAAATAATAACAAAGTAGAGTATAGGCTTTAAAACTTTTAACATTAAGTTGGGGTCTTTTATGCAAAAAACTTTGGTTGACCAAATCTTCCAATTTATAATTATAAAAACCATTAAAATAATTGGAAAATTTATTTTCACATCAATTTTGTCTACATATTTAAACATATAAGCATCTTATCATTTTCATTTTATTGGGTATGTATATATAATTATTACAAGATAAATATTACATGATTATCCAAATACACACTTTCTAATGGATAAAGAATAAATTAAATTACAATCCACTTAATAGATATTTTAGAATTCAAGCAACGATGCAACAATCTCTGTCGAACTAAATAATTATTAATAAATATATTAATTGTTGAAGATAAATAATCCCAAAGTCGAATAATTTAGCTAGGTGGACGTTTTTCTTGCTAAAAGGTGACTTTGCTTCCCTAAACCTTTTTTCTTCTGAAAGCAATTTTGCAAACCTGTAAGACAAAATGAATAGGACAATTTTTAACTTGAATATAAATGAATTACAAATATGCGAAATAGTAGTAATTTAATTTTTTCTTAATGGTTATGCATACTTTTTCAAAGCATCCTCATTTGTTCCACCGTTTTCAATTGGCTCAAATAGACCAGAATCTAAGTTGACCCTTGAAACTGGTTTCATCAATAAGCTTTGGCCAATTTCAACCAGTTTGTTCAGGTTTCCCTTTGTTGCACCATCAACTGAGGCGGCCGTCCCATTTAAATTGTCCTCCTAGCATCCAATTAAAAAAATCATCGTTATCAAAGAAGTAGAAAACAATTTAATAAATAGGGAGTTTAACAAATTTAAATAAACCAATTTGTTTGGATTAAACTTTTAGATGAGATAAGTATATGTTAGTATCAAAGGAGGCAAATGTCTTATATAAACCAGCAATCCCCACCGTGAAATAAATTTGGTGTGAAGAAAAAAAGCGTTTTGTTGAAAATTAAAATTTAAATGAGTAAATTTTTGCTATAAACTTGAGCTTGTAAATGGTGTGGTTAAACGTCAATCTTACTTGAATTCTAAGGTAGTTTTCTTGAGAATGAAATGCTTGAAAAACAGCGGAAATATGTAAATCCACCATATCGGCACTGGCTTGAGTGAAAACATCTACTATTGGAGTGGAACCTCCATTCAGCAACCATCCAAAAATTCCCCATTTCGCTGCCTTTTGAGCACTATATTTCTTCTGTGCCTTTGACGAGCCAGTGCCCACTGAGATGACTAAAAATCGTCCATAATCCATAGGCTTAATTGGGAAGAAATCTGGACTTCCATCCAAAATCTGTTTAGTAATTTGGTTGATGGCTACTAATGCCTGCAAAAATATAGGGTTTGAGAAAAGATACGATTTTAACACTTCTGTTTTTATGAGTAAAAGAAAGAGAAAATTCAACAAACAAAATAATTCTTCTGAAAAGGAGAGAAACAAACTTGAAAGAGTTTGGCCTCATATTGGTTCATTAATTTAACAGTAGTGCTCAACATTTGAGTTATTTGAATTTCACGAACAACTTTAATTTCTATAAATTTCAAAAAAAAAAAAAAAAAAAGGTTTAATAGTCAATGAACGATTTATTTTTAAAAAAAAAAAGTTTAATATTCAATGAACGATTTATTTCTAAATGATTTTTGTGAGATTTAAGTATAATATATTT